GTATATGTATTAGAGAGATCATGTCTCTGTCATATCTGATCACATGTGTCATATCATGCATGTAGGGCTCAGAGGACCCCTTGTGGTCTCTCTTTACCATGTTTCCATGGGTTCTAGGAACAAGACTCAAATCTACAAGCATGCACAGCAATCCCTTTACCCACTGAACCATCCTACCAGCTTCCAGAAATCTCTAAAATAAACAAATCTACAATTACTAGTTCCATTTTATAGTAAACATTTAGGTATTAATTGAGCTCCTACTACATACCAATCCTATCCCTGGATCTTTGCATATAGGATCTCCATTCCTCCCAGAAGAACCCACTTACAGACACAAGTGACTGCCAAGAATGCACACAGGTAGGTAAATTGCTGTCAAGAGTCCCCACTTTCCAGCCCTTGTCTTTAAGGAGCTAACGTCATTTCCGCACCTTTATTTAGAGAGAGCACAAGGCCTGATGTAGTGGTGCACACCAATCTTGTCTGGTGAGGGAAAAAAATAAAATAAATAAATAAACACACACACACACACACACACACACACACACACACACACACGGTGTTGGCCAATCAGCATATAGCATCTTGTTAGCTTCACTCAGTTGGCTCAACATACAGGCACATGACTTAGTCTGGCCCAATGGGATACCTGACTGAAAGTTTCAGCAGCAAAGAAGCCCCTCCCTGCTGAGCTGCAGGACGCAGGCCCAAACAGACCACCTTCCAAAAGGAGGAAAAGAAAGGGAGATGCAGGGATCCCAACACACTGGCCTGCCTCAAATATGTGGGCCAGCCATTCCTCCTGTTTCAGTTGGCATGATCGGTATTTCTGTCATTACTACAGGAAGATTCCTGACTGACACCTCCAGTCTGCATGCTGTCCATCATTTAGTGAGCCTCCTTGCCCCTGAAAGCATTTGCCTAGAGCAAGTCTGAAAGCCAAATAAATACTCAAGCCAGGATTATTAAGACTCTGCTACTAAGGGACGTGCTCCCTGGATGCTGAACTGGTTGGTTTTCATTCAGGAAGGGTCTTAATGTAGAATTATCTAGATCTGATTGGCCTGTGAGCATGTCAATAGGGAAGGAGGGCTGTCTTGATTGTTGGTTGAGGTGAGAAGATCCACCCTGCACGCAGAAGGCATTATTTAACGCATGGGGCCCTTGACAACATAAAGTAGAGAAAGCTAGCAAGTAGAGAAAGTACAAGCAAGGAAGCAAAACTCCATCCGTCCATCTTTGCTGTTGACTGTGGCTGCAATTGTATTCCCGCCCTGCCTTCCTCATAGCAGTCGACTGTAAAATGGAATTGTAAGCCAGATAAATCCTGTCTTGCCTAAGATGCTTTTGTCAGGGTGTTTTGTCACAGTAACAGAGCTTACTCCAGAGCAGGTGGCTTTCTCTGTCCCCTGACTGGGAGAGGTAAGGAGGTAGGCCATCTGCTCCTGAACTTTGCAACTCTGCTCACACTTCTCCTCCCGGATGACCAAATGGAACCGGCAGGCAGTGGTGATGCAGCTTGCCGGACCATGCTGCCTGCCGGAGTCAGAATATACTCAAGTGGTCCCTTGGCAGGCTTGGGTTTTCTGCCCATCCATGCCCACCAGGACGAGCTTAGGGAGTTGACTCAGAACACTGTTGCCAACCTGTCTCTGGCCAATGTAGCGAATCTTTAAATGACTGGAACATCTTTACACCATAAAGATCTTGGACCAAACACAAAATTCATTTATGGGGAAAAACCAATTCTGAGAAAAAGCTCTCTCTGGAGGTGATTTCAATGAGTGTGCAGTCCGAAGGGGCAGCTTGCCCTCATTCCTGACTAATACAATGGAGATCGCAGCAGCCCCAGCTCCTGGCTGTACATGCAACCAAACACCCACCACCCCAGACTTTTTAAAGGCAACTCCCAAATTCCACCCTCACCACAAGATTAGAAGGAGGCCATCAAAATGGTTCAGCGAGTAAAGTGCTTGCCATGTAGGTCTCATGGCCTGAGTGCATTCCCAGATAAAGGTTGGGAGAACCAGCTCATGAAGTTGTCCTTTGATCTACACACAGACGTCACGCACAGTAATAGTAAACATCATTTTAAAAGCTCTCTGTGTAATAGGGAGATCTTTAAAAAGATCAGAAAGATGATGATTCCTACCCTCAATGTGATGCAGCTGCAGCCCAGAGAGGTGAGGAAATGCCCAAGGTCACACAAGAAGCTGCTGCTTAGACTTACATCCCAGGTGAAGAGCTGGGTGAGTACAGCTAAGAATATGCCTGTTTCTCAAGCTTGGGGGACAAGTAGGGCAGTTGCAGAAGCAAGTTGAGAGGAAAGCCAGCCCAGTGTCAACTATGTCTATGTGGGTCCAATAGGATTCACCTCTGAGCAGGACAAGGTGGCCAAATGACAACACCAGCCTTAACAAAGGGTCACCAGTGCGTCTACAGGTAAGAAGGAGCCTGGCAGAGATTTAGTGAGGAAAGTTGCTGATGGCGGAGAGCCAGCCATGAGCCTGCCAAGCCCTTCTTTGAGGAACTACACACACAACAACCAAAAGCAAAGTGTGGTCTTGATGGTGTTCATTTTGATCGTGTGATGTTTTATCACTGTTGGTATTATTTTCTCCCTCAGTTCGAGGGGTAAAACCCAGGACTTTGTGCATCCTAGGCAAGTCATTGAACTGTATCTCCAGAACCTTTTTTTATAAACTACTAGCTTAGTTTAAGTTGCCCAGGCCGACTCTGAACTCACACTAGAGCTCAGCAAGCAGTCTTTAAACTTTTGGTCTTCCTGACTCAGCCTCCTAAGTGTTTTGTGTATTTTCATTCCCATTTTCTGGGGTCCGGACAGCACCCTTAACGCATTTGACATCTCATCTCAGTGTGGAAATAAGGCTTAGAAAAGCCAAGAAACCTACCCCAGGATTTAAGAGATTCAAAGAAGGCACTGAGTTAGGACTAGACCCTTCCCTCACATACTTCAAATACAGAATTCTAGATGATTCTTGAAGCAGTACTCAAACAACAGCCAAAGCACCTCACAGCGCAGCTGGAGTACACGGCAGTACAGACTGCCTGCAGCTCTCCTTAGCTCCCTCATGGGGACAAGCACAGGAGCCTCTGACAGCGGAAACTTACACAGAGTTGTGCTGGAGCTGACTGGGAAGCTGCTGACAAGAGACAGGTAAGATTTGGGGAATTTTGTGAGCAGGTAATATTATGTTGACAATTTAAAACTGGCCACAGTGGAAATACAGCACAGAGAAGGGATAATATTTTTTTTAAAGGGCTTTAAATTTTCTTCAAGAGACCTATTTGTTAAATATTTCCCAGAATGCTATTGGACTTGAAAAAAGCAGTTTGGTTCCAATCATCCATTTATACATCCATCCATCCATCCATCCATCCATCCATCCACTCATCCATCTGT